TTTTATCTTGCGGATGGAAACAGTCTTTCAAATTAGTTACCTTCAAGGGAAAATCTAAAAGCTTCTCTTAGCGTCAGTTGTGATGGGGAGAGAGACTGTTTTATTTTCTGCCTTCCACGAGGCTCTGTGCCTGGCAGAGTGGCCCTTTGGATCCCTCCAGGTCAGAAATTCAGCACCTTTATTACGGTGGACCTAATGCTGCCCTCCCTGGAGTTATCCACACTTGTGTTTGAAAGCCTTATGATTTTTTTCTTTTCTTTTAAATAATTCCTATTTTAACTCAATATGTCCTTCAAAATTATTTATGATTTTTGCCGGGGAGATGGCTCAGCAGCATAAGCGCTTGCCTGGCAAGCGCAAGGGCCTGAGTTGAATCCCTGCTCCACAAAACAAACAAACAACAACAAAAAAAACCTGAACTGGGTCCCACCCTGGGGTGGATCTGTTCTCATGCAGGTCTGAACCTTCCCCAGATCAACCCAAAATTATTTATAATTTTTAAGTTTTTAATCAAAATGACCAATAGAGCAAGCCGAGAGTCTGCAGCGATTTGCACAGTGTTTCGAGTACACCGAAGTGTATTCTGATTGCTCGGTGGAATTTGCAGCAGTGACACCAGGCAAACCCTGCAGGCCTTTGCATACTGGGGCTCTGCGGTCCTGAACCTCCTACCTACACCCAGGCAGCACAGGGGTTGGTAGTGGGCGCCAACCTCCACAGCTGGACCAGCGTGGGAATCTGCAGATGTCGGGGAACCTCACCCGGTGTGCCCAGGAGGGGACCTGGGCCCTGTCTGGGCCTCACCTATGCCCCTCGTCCCCGCAGCACCAGTGGGCAACTTGGAACATGCCGTTTGCGATTTAAAAGACGTTTTTGCTTTTTCATCTGACTGAGGAAAGTTAGAGAGTTCAAGCTCTATTGGTGGTACTTCTATTTCACCGTCCATGTCCCGCTCAGGTTTGCGACTTGATTTTTAAGGAGCACCCTGAGTCAAATCCTTTG